GAGTTCTAGAACCTTAGTGGTGGTCAGATGTCTTGACTTTGGATGTGACATCCTCGTCTGCTTACCCACCTGACATTCACCACAAACTCTTCCTTCATCAATTAGCAGTTTTGGAATCCCTCTGACTGCCTCCAAGGAGATAACCCTCTTCATACCCCTTAGGTGAAGATGGCCAAGTTTTTGGTGCCACAGTTTCACCTCTTTTTCTTCTTTTGCAATGCAACACACAGATGAGAAATTAGTGTTCTCAGCCTCCCATAAGTAACAGTTGTCTTTGGATCTGACTCCTTTCATTACTATCTCTTGTTTGTCATTGATTACAAGGCATTCAGATTTTGAGAAATTGACCTTGAATCCTAGATCACACAGTTGACTGATACTAATGAGATTAGCGGTCAGTCCTTTCACCAGCAGTACTTCATTTAGACTTGGAACTCCAGGGCAGTTCAAATCATCAACTCCTTTGATTTCACCTTTAGCCCCATCTCCAAAGGTCACAAAACTGGTGGTGTGAGGCTTAACATTATTGAGGAGGTTCTTGATTCCAGTCATATGTCTGGAACATCCACTGTCAAAGTACCAGTCTTCCTTTGCTGAGACCCTCAGGGAAGTGTGAGCTATCAGTGCAGTAGCCTTTTTCTTCCATTGAGGAGCATGTGGTACCTTTTTAGACTTAGGTTTGACACCTGAATTCTGATTAGGGTATCCATGTAATCTGAAGCAGAAACGCTTTATGTGGCCATATCTACCACAATGATGACATTTCCATCTTTGGTACCTTTTCCTCATATGTTTCTGTTCCTGATGTCGAGAGTTGTGTTGAGACATCTGTTTTGACATTTGCCTACCAGAACCAGATTTCGTTGCTTTCATAAATCCTAGACCAGATTTATTTCCCACATTTTGTCCAATCTGTAGGATCTCTTCCAATTTGTCAGTTCCATTTGTCAACATCTTGACAGATTTGGTCATTTGATTCAGTTGTGAGTTCAGCAATTGAACTTCTTCTTCTAGAAGACTTATAGTTTCAAGGTTTGCCCGTTTTTCAGCCTCCATCTTTATGATGAGTTTTGATTGTTTCTTATTCTGCACACAGACTTCAGTACTTCTGATACACAATTCCTTGTATGTTTCAGCCAGTTCTTCAAAAGTCACCTCTTCATCACTGATGTCACTTTCAGAGGTACAAACACCAGTTAAAGCAGTAACTCGTTTGGCAGTCTCTTCTTCAGAATTACTTTATGAATCACAGTCAGACCAAGTAACTGTCATTCCTTTTTGTTTCTTAAGAAAGGTAGGACATTCAGCTCGAATATGCCCATATCCTTCACAACCATGGCATTGAATTCCTCTGCCTTGAACTCCCTTCTCATCTGACCTTGGTCTTCTACTGGAACTGTCAATGTCAGAGGAAATGTTATGAACATTAGACCTTGACTTTGGATCTATTCTTTTGATGAGTTTGTTGAACTGTCTTCCTAGCATGGCTATAGCTTCTGAAATGTTTTCTTCAACATCAGTGTTGGACATAAGTGCTATGCTCTTGTTCTTTTTGACATCATCATTAGTGATTCCCATCTCAAAAGTCTGAAGAGACCCAATAAGTTCATCCACTTTCAACTTGCTAATGTCCTGGGCTTCCTCTATGGCAGTCACCTTCATTGCAAATCTTTTAGGCAAGGATCTGAGAATCTTCCTCACCAGTTTTTCTTCTGACATTTTTTCTCCCAGTGCTCCTGAGGTGTTGGCAATCTCCAAGATGTTCATGTGAAACTCATGAATGGTTTCATCTTCCATCATTTTTAGATTCTCAAACTTAGTGGTCAACATCTGAAGCCTTGACATTTTTACTTTGGAAGTTCCCTCATGAGTAGTTTTGAGAGTGTCCCAAACTTCCTTGGCCAGTTCATATTGATGAACTAATCTGAAAATATTTCTATCAATTCCATTGAACAAGGCATTTAGAGCTTTGGAATTTCCCAGGGCTAGCTCATCTTCTTCTTTACTCCAATCTTCCTCAGGCTTCAGACTGATTGTCCCATCTTCCTCAGTTATGGTGGGATGAATCCATCCTTTGTCAGCAGCTCTCCAAGCCTTTTTGTCCAGAGATTTTAGGAAGGCAATCATACGAGGTTTCCAGTAGTCATAATTAGTTCCATCCAGAATGGGTGGTCTATTTCCAAAAACTCCTTCTTTGTCCATAGTGCCAGAAAGTGATATCCCTAGATCTCACCCAGTAATACAGGCAGGGTGCCTGCTCTGATGCCAATTGAAATTCTGGCTACAGATACTCAATGTCACGTCCAATGTTATGACACCGTATCTGACTTACTATATGACAGTAAATACAAAAGCAGTAAATAACACAGTCAATTGTTTACCCAGTTCAGTGTGCAACAACACCTACTCTGGGGGCTACCAAGCCAGGGAGAGAATCCACTATAAGAGATGTTAATTCAGGAATAAACCAACCAGTTTATCTCCTTCACTTAAGACCTACCCAATGCAATTCTAATCTAAGTACAACTTAAACCTGAGTTCCTACTCACTCCCCCTCAATCACAGCAGTGATACATAAATCAATTTGACTTGAGAATTGATGAAGACACTCTTCAAAACACACACTTGATTAAGCTTCACAGCTTTTTAATCAAGTAACACAATCACTCGTGCTTCACAGCTTTGAGTGATGTACACAACTAACTTGACTCTGCTTCACAGCTTTAGTCAAGTAACATTCAAACACTCTTGCTTCAAAGCTTTGAGTGCTACACAACCCTTACAATTGAAACCTATTCCAAGGCACTTATCACAATGATAATTGCTTGGAGTACAATAAACAAATCTATACAGATTACAAAATTGATCTTCTACTCAATCAGCAGGGATGTCTTCAAAAACCGCAGCTCTGTTGAATATATAGCAGCTGCAACTTCAGTTAGGGTTTCCAAAAACCTAGGGTTGATTCCGTTTGACCTAAAGACCAGGTCACAGTACTTTGTTGATCAGGTTAGGATTGAGCTAGGTTACTCCTCAGAAAACGCAGGATTCTGTTTAGAGGGGACTGAGTTATTTCCTGAAAAAACTCAGACTTATCCAATCCTGCAATCCTGTTAGTTCAGAACAGGATGTCATAACATCTGTTATGACATCTGAGAAAACCTGTCTACTAATTAGCAAAATGTGATCATTTTGCAAACATGCTCAGATACACACTTCTAAACATCAGTATTTGAATTACAATATTTTTCTGCACATGTACCTATTGAGTTAGTACAACCTGAACTAGAATGTTATGACATCAGTCATGACATTCACACATACACTTGGGATTTACCAAAAATGCAAGCCAATACCTAAACACCTACAAAACTCCACAAGATTCATTTCCATTTTACCTCCCTTATTCAGACGATCAGTGCTATCGACCATCCGTGGAACCCCGTCCTGCACCAATACAACCAAACTTTGAGGGCATGGATAACCGACTGTTTGAAAGCGGATCTTCCGGATATGCTGATCTGACAGATTTCATGGATCCTGAACGCATTGACTTCGCAGGGCCCTCGACCCAACCGCAACAGAAAAATCGTCGAAACACACCACGAATTAGGCGAAGACGCGGGTGTAGAACCACAAGTCGTTATCGAGTCCTGAGAGACAACTAAATAATTTATAACTTTTATTCTCATTATATAATCGTTTAATTATTATTGGAAATCAAAATTTCATTTGCTATGAAATTGTCTTTTATCTCTCTAACAAAAAAATTCAAAAAAAAAAAAGACTTTGCATCTAGGAGCCATCTGAGATGGCTTAAGACAAATCCTAATGCACCTAGACGCCATTTCATTTGACATCATCTTTAAAAAAATCAATACATGTGCCATCTCATTTGACTATTGTATGTTAAAGTTTTCTAAAATATCATTATTTATATATTTTTTTAAAACCTGATTATCGTTAAAAAAAATCCTAACACTAAATATATTTAAAAAAAAAAAGGAAAATGATAATTAAGGATACAAGTTAAGAAATTCAATGCAAACAACACATGATCTTTTTTAAAAGTTTAAGATTTCTGCTTGTAAATATATTTTTTATTTTTTATTTTTACGTTTTTAACTTGTGCTCTAAATTAACATGACCCTCTTAAAAAACAACTTATGTCCAAATCCTAGAGGGTGCAACTTTCAAGAAATAAGTTGACGTTAAAAATAGGTCTTTCTGAGTATTTGTTTTTTGAAAGTATTTTATTGGTGAGTGGAAACTAACAATTTGATTAAATTAAAATTAACCATATTCTACAATAGAGATGTTCATCTGTCACCACAGTTGTTTCGGATGTTTCTTTTAATAGAGATGTTCATCTGTCACCACAGTTGTTTCGGATGTTTCTTTTAATAGAGATGTTTCAGCGTCTCTATACTCTTCCTTACCTTTTTCATTTTCTAATGACTTGCTGCTGTGTGCACAGTGCACACTCGAACAACAGACGCTAACAAAAAGAACCCTAAGCTAACTCAAAGGGCCCAGTGTACTTACAAAGTTATTCTCAGATGGAAGTGAAAAGAGTAACTTGTGAATCGTCTTTTTCACAGAACTTCCAGATACATTTATTGAAACTGGGTCTAAAACACCAACTAATACTGCAGCTTGGCGATGTTCAGACACCCAGATCATGATAGAGTTCACTATGAATAACAATGGCAACAGACATTTCAAGGATTCAATGTGAAAAAGTCATGCATATTAATGACAAAATATTAAAGAAACAACAATGCAAGCCAAAATACAGAAACAAACAGATGGGTGCAGAACTACTCTAAACCATGTACCCAAATTACCACTACCCTTACACCTCCATTTCCCAATTTGGAATTTCCATTCTCTCCACATCAGGCTCAAAACAAGAATTCCTCGAGACATACTAATTACAATGCAATCTTCACTAAAGATAGAAGAGTAACACACTTACACATCATACTTAGTAACTTCTTTTATTCATATGCATGCTCTGGCTCTTCTTCCTCCTCATCCTCATAATCTCCTTCTTCATCAGCAGTGGCATCCTGGTATTGTTGGTATTCAGACACAAGATCGTTCATGTTGCTCTCAGCTTCTGTGAACTCCATTTCGTCCATACCTTCACCAGTGTACCAATGCAAGAAAGCCTTTCTCCTAAACATAGCAGTGAATTGTTCACTCACCCTTCTGAACATTTCCTGAATAGAGGTTGAATTACCAATGAAGGTAGAAGCCATGGAGAGACCTCTAGGAGCAATGTCACAGACACTTGACTTAACATTGTTGGGGATCCACTCAACAAAGTAGGACGAGTTTTTGTTCTGGACATTAATCATCTGTTCATCCACCTCTTTGGTACTCATTTTACCCCTGAACATGGCAGATGCAGTGAGGTAGCGGCCGTGTCTGGGATCAGCAGCACACATCATGTTTTTGGAATCCCACATTTGCTGGGTGAGCTCTGGAACAGTCAATGCACGATACTGCTGAGAGCCACGGGAGGTGAGAGGTGCAAAACCAACCATAAAGAAATGCAGACGAGGGAATGGAATGAGATTCACAGCCAGTTTCCGGAGATCAGAGTTGAGTTGACCAGGGAAACGAAGACAGCAAGTCACTCCACTCATAGTTGCGGAGATCAAGTGGTTCAAATCACCAACTGCAACAAACAATCACATATTTTCAGTAATCACCAACAACAGAACCAAGTTACCCAAAACCAAGTTATCCAACTGTTGAAAAATCAGTTGCAATCAAATTTGCTTAAAACATAAATAAACAGTCAAATTGATTCCCAAAAAACATTTCACTGTCAAATCAGTTTATCAAATCCCATAAATGAAACTTGGGAAAGCAATTAGACCGAACAGTGCACAATGAAAAGATAAGAAAAATCCTTTGCTATTATCCAAGAATCACAATAAGTGAATCAGAAAAAAATGGCATACATATGTACTCAGTTAATTAACATATAAATGAATCATCAACACCAAAGTGCCTCAGTCATGTGATGCAATCAAATTCATATCAAGTGATAAACAATTGCAACAAGCATCTATAATCCAGAGTGTAAGTGTCATTAGGAAAGCTTCAACAACCAGATCAGTCAACTCAAGTCTATTAAACATCCGGAATCAGTCAATTCAAGTGCTCAACAAGTCCCACACAGTCAAGACAATCATTCAAATTGCATAATAGAAAATAAATCTACTAGATGAATGCAAATTCAGGACATTTGACTCATTTGACTGAAACAAATGCACGGAGAAAAAATCACAGTCGCTAGTCATGATTTATCATAATCTGACTAATCTAACTACAAATTCATCTAACACAAATCAAAGAATCCTTAACATGTAAATCCCCTTAGCCATCTACAATATCATCATTGCATCTCCTATCTAGTAACAACCAATGTAAAAAATATTTAGATAGCATGAAAAGAGAACACTACTCACAGCTAGGAGTGGTCAATTTGAGAGTCCTAAAGCAGATATCATACAGAGCTTCATTATCAAGAACCATACATTCATCAGCATTCTCCACCAACTGATGAACAGATAGAGTAGCATTATACGGCTCAACTACAGTATCAGAAACCTTTGGAGAAGGAAACACCGAGAACGTCAGCATCATCCTATCAGGATACTCCTCTCTTATCTTCGATATCAACAGTGTTCCCATTCCAGATCCCGTTCCTCCACCTAAAGAATGGCACACCTGAAACCCTACCAAAACCAAACACAAAATTAGCAACCGAAATTACACAAAAATCATCGATCCGGTTCAGATCAGTACTGTACAGTTCAGTTAACCTACCTTGAAGACAGTCGCAATTCTCAGCTTCCTTTCTAACAACATCGAGAACCGAGTCAATAAGTTCAGCGCCTTCAGTATAGTGACCTTTCGCCCAATTGTTACCGGCGCCGGACTGACCGAAGACGAAGTTATCCGGACGGAAGATCTGGCCGTAAGGACCGGTTCGGACACTGTCCATAGTACCAGGCTCCAGGTCCATGAGGATGGCGCGTGGAACGAACCTTCCGCATGATGCTTCGTTGTAGTACACATTCACGCGCTCCAGTTGCAGATCTGAGTTTCCGACGTACCTTCCAGTTGGATCTATGCCGTGCTCGTCGCAAACAACTTCCCAGAACTTTGAACCGATCTGGTTACCGCATTGTCCTCCTTGAACGTGAAGGATTTCCCTCATCTTCTTTGTTTTTCCTGTAATTCAAGTAGCGAAATGGTTAATTTCAGAAGATTTCAACAGTGAGAGAGAGAAATTGATGAAATCAGATCTAGATGTAGAGAGAGAAAGAGATGAACCTGTGGCGGTGATGAAGAAGAGTGAGAGAGTGAAGAGTGAGAAAATTTGGGAGCAGGGAAATGGTTGAGCGGGATTTTTATAGTGAGAGACAGTGAGAGTTTGGAGAAATATAATCGTTCAAGTTTGTTTGTTCCCTCGCTTTGGGTTGGGAAGCAATGTGGGCCGTTTGATGGAATCCTACCGACGGTGGAGATTGGAGTATTTGATTATTTAAATTTTGAAGTGTTGTTTGGTATTGGTGCAGAGGAATTGTGCTAGGACAGATATACCCTTTTGTTGAATTACGAAATAGTCCTTTGGTACGAAGGATAAAGAGTAAGAAGAATAATTTGGACGTGGTAACTGTTTGGGGTGTAAAGTCTATGTCCGCGTCAACCAAATCTGTCAGTGAGAGAGACATATGCTTCGTTTCTTTCTCATTTTTTCTTCTTTCTTATTTTTTTCTTCTTTGTTTGTAAAATTTGAAAGAGAAATTATCACTATTTTGTTAATTACAGTCTTCATCTCAAAATAATTTAATTTAAAGAAAATACTAGTAAAATAAATATTATAATTCAATTAGATGATGGTGTAAACTTATTTTACACTAACATGATATTACTTTTAATTTCAAACTATATAATTATATTTCTCTCTTTAAGATTTTCAACAAAATTTGAATATGATCAGTACTAAATTATTTTAATATATCTTTTTCCAATCGCGGTCCTTAGTATTTTGTATGTTTACAATTTTTATCCTTGCAATCAAATATTATTTTAGTTGTAGTTTTTATTTCATTTTTAATATGTCAATAGGGAGGATTGTGTGATCCTCGGAAAACTAATAAAAAATAGGGAAAATAGGGTCGTGTCTTTATGGTATATGCTAAAAATATTATAATTAGAAAATTTTTAATATAATAAAATTATATTTAAAGTTTTAAAATATTGAATACATGTGTTTTAAGATAATATTTCTATAAATAACTTATTTGTATAATTTATGTCTTTGGAGCACATGTTAGTATTTTTCTAAAAAATAATATTTATAAAAAATTTATATTTTTGAGAGTATTCGACCGTTAGAAATCAATGTATATTATTTTTGTGGTGGTTTAAATTTCATTATTTATGAGAGAATATATTGATATAATAAATACGTATTATTCAAAACTAATATTTTATTTGTATTTTTGGTGAATCTTGATTTTTATTACTTTAACTCGTGATAAAATTATTTTTTTAATTGTCAAATTAGTCATATTGAAGATGAAGAGTGAAATTCATCTAGTAAGATTGATACAATTGCAGAGATAAGAGTTAAGAGAGAGAGAGAGAGAGAGAGAGAGAGAGATGGTTTGAAATGTATTATTTATCATAAAGACAATGTAACATTACAGTAGGTTTTATACAAACTATACCTACACGCAAGGTTAATAGAAATCGTTGGGCCTAACGGTTAACCAATTGAGAAACAAACTTAACACACAAGCTACAATTAACTGTGTTAAGTTTAACTGACTAAAGTCGTTAAGGTTATACTCTAACCCCCCTCCCCCACCCCCTCAAACTGAAGGGTAGTGATCTGCACTAACAAATTTAAGTTTGCTCCTTAACTCTTGAAATGCATAAGTGCTCAATGGTTTGGTAAGGGTGTCAACAATTTGCATAGCAACAGGGACATGTTGAATTCTTATTTTTCTAGCTACAACTCTTTCTTTTACGAAGTATATATCAAGTTCAATATGCTTCGTGCGAGTATGGAGCACGGGATTATGAGATAGCAACAATGCATTGAGATTATCACAAAGAAGCATGGGAGTATGAAACGGTATTGTGAGTTCAGAAAGAAGAGATTTCGGCCATAATAACTCAGACGTTGAATGTGTTAAAGCCTTGTACTATGCTTCAGTGCTGGAACGAGCTACTAGAGACTGCTTTTTAGAGCTTCGTGCCACTAAATTCTGACTAAAATAGATGCAAGAACTAGAAGTGGACAGTTTATCATATGGTTCACTAGCCCAGTCTAGATCGTTATAAGCGCGCATAGAGAATTTTGGGGCTGAAGGTGATGGAGATAACATTAAACTATACTGTGATGCGCCACTAAGATATCGCAGTAATCTTTTAACAACAGCCCAATGAGTGTCATGAGGACATGTCATAAATTGGCAGGCCTTGTTCACACTATACATAATATCTAGTCTTGTCAATGTTAAATAATGTAGAGCACCAATAATGGATCGATATAAGTGAGGCTCAACCATATGATTAGCATCATGCTTGCTAAGCTTACATGTACTTGGTATAGGTGTAGGAACACCATTTGCTACAATCATCTTTGCCCTTGATAAAAGATCTTGAATATATTTTGATCGTGTTAAAAACATTGAGCCATTGTCGCAAAAGGTTACCTTAATACCTATAAAGTAACTAGGTCTGCCCAACTTCTTCAATGTTAATGTGTTATGCAGTTTATTGATTAAGTCATGAATAAGAGAAGTGTTAAAACATGTTATAAGAATGTCATCGACATATACCAGTGCATACAGAGTTATACATTGTTTGTAGTAGACAAAGAGAGAATTATCACATTTGGAGGCAGTGAATCCAAAGTGAAGAAGAGCTTGAGTTAACTTCCCATACCAAGCCCTTGGGGATTGTTTAAGTCCATAAATTGCCTTATTGAGTTTACATACCAGATGTTTGTCAGCACTTACAAATCCTGGAGGTTGGACCATATAGACTTCATCATGCAGATTGCCATTCAAGAAAGCATTGTTAATATCAATCTATTGAATATCCCATTTATAAGTAATGGCAAGTGTTAGTAAAACCCTAATTGTGGTAGGTTTTACTACAACTGAGAATGTCTCAGTGTAATCAAAACCTTGTTCTTGGTGAAAACCTTTAGCAATAAGTCTAGCTTTGTATTTGAGAATAAAACCATCAGCATTTTCTTTAAGTTTGAAAACCCATATGCATCCTACAATTGTTCTATCAGGAGGCAATATGGTCAATGTCCATGTGTTGTTAGCTTGCAGAGCATTAAATTCATCCCTCGTGGCCTTGGACCACTCAACTTTGTTGAGAGCATGCTTGACACTAGTTGGCTCAGTTTCAGTATATGCAAGGAGGGCTTTAGGTTTAGAAGGCCTTGTTTTGGCTCTAGTAAGCATGGGGTGGTTGTTTTCTAGGAGAGTCATCATGGGTTTACTTGAAACAATAGAAGGTGAGTTAGATGATTCAGTCACAATAATGAAAGAAGATATTGTGAGCTCATTAGAACAGAAGGTGTTGCTATTTGCATCTTTGTTAAAATTATGTTGGTGAGTAGAAGATATAACCTTATGTTTATGTATAGTAGCAGATACTGGATCAAGATTAATGTCCTCAGGAAATTTTGACATAGTTGGAGCAAACAGAGATTCATTATTCTGCAATCTCATCACTGCTTTAGATGATATACCAGCATTAGTATCCCCAAGATATTGAGGTACCTCAGGTACAACATTGCCAACATTATTATCCTTAGGATTATTATTAGAAGTATGAGCAGAGTTGTGGTTATTATCTAGCAGATCTGAGACAGCTCTAGGAATGCTTACACTATTATTATTTTTAGGATAAGATATAGCACTAGGTGGTGTGCTAGAACCAGCAGAACTGGAAGCATGGGTAATGGGATTAGTAGCTGAATATGCAGTCTGACTAGACATGTGAATAGAACCAGAATTGAAGAGCTCATGACCAGCATTTTGATTTGAATTTGTGTCATTAGGAAAAGCCTGAATAGGAGTATCAGGGACCACTAAGTTATTCTGTTGAGTGTTAATGTGGGACTTTGGTGATGTATAGACTTTAGGAGCTATAGAGTAATAATCATGAGCTAAAGAGATAGATGGTATGTCAGTATAATAGGTTCTAGAGTTATTTCTAGAGTCATCATATGAAAAGAGTTTTGAAAAGGGAAAACTTTCTTCATTGAATGTAACATCCTTGGAGATATAGATTTTACCCTCTTTACTGAGATATTTGAAATCTTTATGTTGTGGATACACCCCTAGATAAATACAATCTTAACTCCTCGTTTAAAACTCGTGTTTGTTAAATGGCCCGAGTAAGGGAAAAGATGAGCAGCCAAATACTCTTAAAGCTTTATAGTCAGATTGCTAGTCATATAGAGCTTGAAAGGGAGAATAAGTTATGGTTCAGGCTATAGTAGGAAGTCTGTTTATAACATGAACAACAGTGGAAAAATTGTGATCATAATATGTTAGAGGTATAGATGAGTGAGCTAATAGAGTGAGTCCTATTTCAACTATGTGCCTATGCTTTCTCTCAATAGACACATTTTGATGGGATGTGTGAGGGCAAGTTAGTCTGTGAACTATCCCTAGTTTTGTCAAGAATTTTGTGAAGGGTCTGAATTCACCACCAAAATTAGACTGAATGGATTTGATTTTGACACTAAACTGAGTTAGAACAAATTGGTAAAATAGCTTAAAGGCATTTAAAGCTTCAGATTTTTGCTCAAGGAAATATAGCAAGGTATATCTGGTATGACCATCAACAAAAGCAATATAATATTTGTAATAAGAACTAGAAGGATTAGGAGAAGGACCCCACAAATCCGTGTAAATCATATCAAATGCCTTTTTATAAACAATGTTAGTTAGTGGAGCATGTAACCTACGTGCTTTACCAATATGACATGAATTGTGAAATTCAGAACTTTGTTTATTAGAAGCAACAACATTACACAACTTGAGTATATGAGTAACTGAATGAAAATTGGCATGACCTAACCTATGATGCCAAAGAATGTTGTCATTACAAGAATTTGGTTTATGAAAAGCAGAATTGGAAGCAACAAAGCTTTGTACATCAGTACTAGTGCTC